GGCATGTGCGCTCGCCAGACAGACAGAGACAGAGAGACAGAAAGCAGGAAATCGCCCCCCAGGGGGGTGGCCACGCCGCAATCCCTTCTCCTCCATTCTCCTCTTGGGATCTCGGGCACACACGCACATGCGCCCGGCGTGAGTTTAAGCCACCGGGTCTGGGACTCGAACCGCAGTCAACTACGTGGGAGTCCAGTGACATAGCCATTACGCTAACTGCTGGCCCAGGGCTCGCTCTACTTTTGTGATCTATTACTGTTGAAGAGTTCCTGTAGGACAAAGACAAAGAGTCCCTAGACAGAAGAAGGGTGAACAAAAATATAGGTTAAGGGTCAGGACAAACAAGTGCTCCTATTTTAGGGCTTTCGAAAAATTGTAACACGTATGGAATCCATGTTTCTGTGCAGGCTGTAACACCACATTATGCAGGCTGAGCAGGGTTTGGATTTTTCTTCTCTCAGGCCGTTCTTGTAATCCTGGAACTATCTGCACTCTGAGACCTACGTGGCTACTTCTACTTCATTAAAAGTCGACTCATCGGAAGTGAGACGATGTCTTCCATCTCAGTACCAGAAGGCTACAGAAAGCCTGGGGTAGAGAAAGGGCTTCTAGTTCTGGACCCTAAGGGTACCATCCCATTCTATGTTCTTGTGAGAGTCTCTGAAAGTGAAGCAAGACAAGTCTTGAGGCCAGGTGAGGTGGCTCACACTCACTTGGAAAGGATGTCCTAGGAGACTCTTCTGGAGGAAAGCTTGGGTTCCAGGAAGGGTTTGCTGAGACCACAGAAAACAGTCTCCACCACAAAATTCAAGTGGATTCCAGAAGTGATGGGTTTCAGCATACAATAGAGATAGTGAACTATGTAAAACCCAAAAGGTGTTGGGCTATTAATTTCAGAAACACTTCATACACAGAAAGGTATCTTTTATGAGAAAGATTTTTAAGTTAATTTAAAAAACTTGGAAAAGTCACCTAATTTTTAATGTATTTTTAAATTTCTTTAATCATAAAAGACCTTGTGCACATGTACATGTGAATAAAGAGGAGAGAGAGAGAGAAAAAGAGAAGGACCCTCCACAGGGGCTGGTCAAGCCACAATTTCCTTCCTACGGTCGTTTGGCCTGTTGGATCTTGGGCACTCATATGCATGTCCTACAAGAATACCACCTAATTTTCCTACCAAAAAAAGTTTATAGAAAGGACGGAAACTTACCCTCCGTGAAAACGTCCTCTTTTTTGTTCTTGCTGAATCCGTATATTTTCCAACCTGAGTGGACTTGGGATGAAACCAATCTCACAGCCCTCTTTGACCAGCCTTCCTATCCACCAATCATTGTTATATTTCTGGAATGAAGAAATAAAACTGCTATCAATAGTAATTCACTTATCTTCATGATCCATTAGTTAACTTCAAGGGATCAGAAGAACAAAACACTGTTTCTATGACATTATACTATACATAGGACTATTTATATTATACTTTATTGTATGTAACAAGGAAAGGGCTGCATTCATAGACTAAGGAAGGGGTCTGCACACATTTTTCTGTAAGCTCTAGAAAGTAAATATAAGGCTTTGTGGGTAATACGGTTTCTATCGAAACTACTTGAATCTGCTGTCCTAGCATGAAATGAGCCATAGGCAAACATGAACGAGTTATCAGAGCAATAGTTTAATACAACTTTTCCTTAAGGAAAGATGGTGGGATATGGTTTGCTAACTCATGATCTAAAATTTAGATCCTAAACTTTGGATTCCTTTGATCATTGTCATGAAACCCTACTCAATGCTCAAGGAACAGAGTAAATATGCATCAGTGCAGTTGGTACTCTAGAAGGCAAGAGAGATATCTCTGGATAATAGTCTCATCTGTCCAAAGCTTTCACATTCCACATCATTCCACAATACTGTCTGTAACCATTCCACAATATCGTCTCCCTTAATTTTTTAAGAATAAGTTTGCAAATTAAGGTTCATTTTACCATCAAAGATAATAAGCCTACTCTTACAAAGTCTGAGCATATTGGGGCCAACAGAGAGCATAGAGGTTATATTGCTGGACTCCCACATGGCCAATGGTGGTTTGTGCCCTGGACCCCATGGCTTGAAAATCATGCTGGGCACATCCAAGATCTCAGGAGGAGAAGGGATTGAGGCATGGCAATCCCCCTGGAGGGTGCTTTTTCACTTTCCTTCTCACTGTTTCTGTCTCTGTCTCTTCAGCCAGGACACACACCCTAATACAAAAATCTCTTTAAAATAAAAGTCTGAGCATATTATACATTGAATACAGAATCTGGAAAATAATCTCTAAATGCCCTGAACCCCATCAGAAACTCCAGGGTTTTCATTTAAATAAAGTTCCATGACATTAAGTTCTAGAACATGTAAAGTTCTGCAATGAGTCCACCCAAAGGTTTCAACCAATGTAAGGTGAGATTCTGTCTATGTGGCTTTATTCGATGGGTTAGCAAAATTGCATTTCTAATTATAGATCTGCTGACTACTAAGGCAGAAAGCAATATAGTCCAAACCACCTGCCTCAAGGAAGGGTTTGGCTAGGTCACTTCTAGAAAATAGATAGCAGTCCTATTGTTTAGGCTTTCCAAAGATAATCTCCAAAACTTGCTTTATTTATTGTTTTTATCAGTGTTGAACAATATAAAGCTCTCTGATTTAAAAAAATATATATACGCATATATGTATGCAAAATGTACATATAGTTACATTTTGAAATTTTATCTATACAAATGTATATATATTCATAAATACATATATTTATATAACATTTAACTTTATAAGTAAAACATATATATAAATATATACACTCAAAAACATTTCTATAATATATAAATATACAATATATATAAGCAAAATATACTAAATATAGTTTATAACAAAATTATGCTTTGCTTAGATGATAGGAAAGTGAAATTTATATATCTGCTACTGATGCATTGTAAAGGAGGAATGGATGGTTTCATTGAATCATCACAGCATGAAGTTCTGAGTAAGTTTAAGTAATTCTGAGTAATGGCTTTACACTCAAAAGACAAATGATACTGTAGGGATTTGCCTTTCATTATGCAGGCACCCAACTCCTACACAAGCCATGCGTGGTGTGTAGCAAGAGATTGTGCTGAAAGAAATAGGAGTTGACCTAACATAAAGGCTTGACCAACCTAGGTCTTACTTTTCTCCAACTTCCTGTCTTTTATTTCAGGATAACAGGCCTGAAATAATAGGCTTGTTTATTTTGGAATTAACAAAAGGCAAGGAGACCCTTTTAGAATCTTTGGTGCAGAGGTCTGGAATTTAAATAGTGGTGGGGACAAAACAGACTCTGAGTCATATCTTCCTAGGGCCTAAGCTATTTCTTGAAATCAAGTTAGCCCGCTGGAACACTAATTTGTTCAATAGTGCCCAAGTGACCTTAAAGGCTTCCTGAAATGGTTAATGCAACTTCCCAAAATGTTTTAACTTAGTTCTTGGAAACAGCTAAAGCACAGTGGGAACCTGACTCAATATGAATGAAAGTTCTTTGAGCAACTTGGAAGAAAGTTGTTTGGTAAATTCATGAGCTTAATTAATTCCCTCATCATTTGGCTTATGTGGCATAGTTGTGGCTTTTCTCTGTGTTTAAGCTTTTTCATTAGTAACAAAGTACTTAAAATGGTGCAGAATAGATGGCCTTCTAGGTGATGAATCAGAGAAACTTGATGACTGGACATGTTCATTTGGGAATGAACCTGCCCTCAGCAGGGCAGATGGGGGAAACTGATCCCTTCCCCAGAGCTGGCCTCAGTACTTCTATAATGAAAATGGAAGGAAAACACTAAGGTCTTAAGGCGCTGTGCAGTGGGTCGAAGACATTATGTAACTGTGGATGAACCTTTGTCGCTTCCCTTCTCATGTGTGAATGTCGTCATTTAGGGAAAGCGTACTCTATTAGAGTGTACGGTAAAAAAAAAAAATTCAGGCAGGAGTATTCAGGAAATTATGGTATTAAGTTGTCTCCTGGAAGACTCCAAGCATGTTCTGTAAAATAAATTGGCCCTCATTCAGAGTGGGCTGGCCCTCTGAGGGGCCACCCCCCAACCCCAAGTCACTACTGCCAGCACACTCTGAGCCAGCAGAGGCTGGAGCTTTGGCCATACTCCAGAGGTAACCCCTCACCCTCAGTCATTTGAAATGCTCCTGGCCAGAGCCACTCCAGAGTTGCCAGCTTAACCCCTTGTACTATAGCCTGAAAGCACCAGAAGAGCCCAGCTGAAAATCAGATTCAAGGAGGGGAAAGCAGAAATCTCCATTATGGAGGGAAAAAAACAGCAAATGACCTTAAGGAATTCCATTCAATTTGCTTTATAAAGAGAGCACTCATACAAATTAATTTAAATGCTTTTTCAAATTCACATGACAACTAAATAAGCTGGCTTTAAATATGGTAAAAGGAAAAGATTTAATAAGTAAAGATCTTCACAGTTCCAAATATATAGTTTGTCTATGGCTTATTGATCAGGCAACATTATATTTGTTTTAATATGGTTGGTTTAATGAATGTTATATGTTGTATGTCACATGGTGGATATCCAACAAACAGGGAAAATAGATTGGTGACTAGCCTTCTCTGATATCTTGGTCCTCACAAGTAATCAAGACATAAGGGCTAAAAGAAATTTAAATGCTTATAAATGGGGTATTTACAGGTAAAGTTTTCAAATAATTTGAAATCTAAAAGCTGTGCTTAAGTGAAATGACAAAGGTTTATAAACTCTGAGCCATCTTTAAGTAAGCTAGCATGCTTTGATTAACATAAAGTTTAAATATTTCTACTGTTGGCTTTTAAAATTTTATAAAGATGGGACCAGCAGGTGGTGTGCTGGTTAAGGTGCTGGACACTCCCACGTGACCAACCACAGTTCGAGTCCCAGACCTGGTGGCTTGTTTTCTCACTTTCTCTCTCTCTCTCTATGTCTCTCTCTGGTCAAATTAAAAAATAAGTGAATAAATAAATTAAATTAAATTAAATAATTATATAAAAATATTTTATTTAACTTTATTTGTCCATTTATTTATTTATATTAATTTGATCAGAGAGGTATAGAGTTCGAGAGAGAGAGAAAATGAGAAAGCAAGCCACCAGGTCTGACACTTGAACCGAACTGCAGTCAACCATGTGGGAGTCCAGCACCCTTAATTGTCATGCCACATGCTGGCTCCAAATTATTTTATTTCACTTTTCTTTTTTAATTTGACCAGAGAGGGACAGAGTAAGAGAGAGAGAAAGAGAAAGTGAGAAAGCAAAGCACCACGTCCGGGGCTCGAACTATAGTCGGCCATGTGGGAGTCCAGTGCCCTTAACCACCACACCACCTGCTGGCCCCAAATAAATAATTCTAAAAGATATTTTAAATATATAAAAAATATTCTACTCTTGGCTTTCATATTTTTATAAAAATATGTCTACCGTTGACTTTTAAAATTTTATAAAAATGAAGTTGGGTCTGTTAATAAGATTATTCTATTCTATACTGAAAAAAATGGTTAAACAGTTTTTGTTTGTTTGTAAAACACATATTCATAAGCTACTGGTCTGTACTAAAAGCTAATATTGCTAAGAGTTAAAAATGTTGGTAAATATGTAAAGTCCTACATAAAGTTACAAGTTAGATGACCTTTCCAGAGGTGTCAGATCCCCCAACTGAACAAAAATTGAGAGCTAGGTTTTGACAAGCCTAAAGTAATCCTTAAAATGACAAACACAAATGTGATCCTTAAAAATAATGGTTCCTATCTAATTGGTTGGAGGTAAAAATTAGTTCTCAAGATAAATTCAGATGTTTCTTGAATCTGATTTATACCTCCTTCAGGATGTTATGCTCATGGAAACAATCTGGCCAGACTGGGAAAAAAAACAAACAAACTAAATTTGCTAGACTCTGAACTGGTATCAATCTTAAAATCATTAAATAATTTATAAAGGAAAGACAAACAAGGTAGAAAGAAAACAGTAAGTAGGAAAGAGATGTGGAAAGACAGCTGTAGATATGAAGTTGCATTTAGTAAAAAGAAAAAAAGATTAAAAGAAAAGAAAGTTTTTTATATAGGAAGAGTTTTGTATGATAAAAATTTTTGTCCTAAAGTAAAATGGCTAGATTATTCCAGAATAGAAAAAAAGTAAACAGGGTTCAAATAATTAAGATACAAAGCGTGTTGCAGAAAGTTTGAACTACATTGAAGAAGGTCTGAGAGGGAATTATTTTTTAAGAGTTATTTTATTTAACTTCATTGATTTATTTTAATTTGACCAGAGAGGGACAGAGAGAGAGAGAAAGCAAGAAAGC